TTATAGAAATGAAACCTTATTTTATCAAGCGAGATACAATATAAATATTTTCGAGAATAATTTTTTGATATGAAAAGCAATGCATTGCTAGATGTCGAATTATATCCAAAAAATTCTATTGAGAAATTAACGAGAAACAACCATCCAACCATACTCAATTTTATTTATTGGTTTTTACTATGTGAGTAAAATATATTTACAATTTAAATCTTATAAATCACTTTAACATTTTAGTATGGTCAATTTTAAATATAATATTTGGTTAAAAATAAAGTCTATTATATAATGGGAGAGTTCTCTTTCCATCTAAGGTATCCACATTAGCAAATTTTTTTTTAAAATGTTCATTTAATTCATGTTTAAGTATATTTATTGTTACTTATCTCCTTCCTATTAAAAGAGAAGTACAATTAGTGAGAATGCTTATTTGTTTTAATTTTATTGGAGAAAAATGATGACATGTCTTTAAAAAAAGATGACATGTCTTAAATCTCTAACTAATATTTTAACACAAATTGAATTACCATAATAAATTTCAAAAATTATAATTTCTATTTCGAAAAGTTGTTTAAATTTAACAACCATTCCAACATTTATTTTCTTTAAAAAAATATATTATTCCGGTTTTTTCAAATAAAATATTAAGAACAATTTTCAGATCTTCTTTTTTAAATTAACAACCAACTTCAAAATTTTTAAAAAATTAATAACGAATAGTAAATTGTAAAAACATTATCAACGAATTTTTATAACAAAATTATTATAATAAATTTTAGTTTCCTAATATTATACTCAATTTTGTATAGAAATTATATTTACATAACATATAAAAATTAGTGGCTATAGAAAATCAATTCTCATATAAATGATAAGATGTTATATTTCAAAAGATAGTACCCATAAACATAAAATATTCCAAATAGATTCTACCACCATCAAAATCTATAAATAATTGCTGAAAGTATTTTTGTTAGGCGGTATTAATAAATAGTTAAAATATTATTTTATTATTTGTAAATAAGTGTTTACAACAAAAACAAAAACATGATGTTGTTCAATCTTCAGTTAAAGTCAATCAAAGTCTTTTAGTGAATCTTTCATGCGACTCAATCAAAGTAAGAATTTAATTTTTTCGTCTATCTATGACTTTTGGATTTTTTTTTCATGTCTATTATGTTCTTAATTCATGTCATGTCTCTTGATTTTAAGTTTTAACTGTTTAGATTTTTATGTTGTTTCCCACACTTAGTTATTTTTTTACTAGCTAAAACTAATTTTCTTTTTGTTCAACTTATTGAAAGAATAATGATCAACTAGGTGAACCAAAAAAAAAAAATGAATTTTAACATTATCATTAGTGAAGTTTACATATTTTATATGTATTCATATGAGGAGAGTAAATCTCCTACAAAGAAGAATACATAATATGTTTTGTTTGGTTTTGAGTTTTGTTCCTTGAGGATTGCAGTTGTATGACTCTTTTGTTTCTTGTCCTAACTAATGTTTTCAATTTGTTAAAATATTGTTTCACTAATTACAAATTTTTACGTATCATTTTCTGTCGTTTATATTTTATTTCAACATTAATACAAAATGAAAAAACGTAAAACTCTCATTTTTAAAATAACATTCAAAATATTAAGAATATTATCTCACACATTAATTTTCTATATGAATTTAAAATTAAAATCAAGCAATAATATATATTTATATTTTTATACATGGTAAAATTAGGTTATTAGTTAAGAAAACTGATTGAGTTTCGTAAACAAATTCATACTCGCACACGGTGTGGAATAATTATCTAGTAACTAATAAATTGGAATTAAATAAGAAAACAAAATATATAAACAAATGATCAAAAGTAGTAAATACAAGAGTATTTGAGTATTTTATTATTTTAAATAAAAATTTATAACAAGAAATATATTTCATTTATATTCTATTTCATTTGAGAGTATAACAAAACTATTATGAGTTTATGATAAGATAAATTTTTATATATTTTAATTTCAAAAATTTGGAAATATGTAAATTGAATATGAATATAAGAGAATGAATAACATATAAACGACATAAAAAAATAATAATAAATAATTATTGAAACATCGTAATTGAGTATCAAATGGTTGTTAGGAGGCTGCAAGTTTAAAGAAAAATAAGCTATCTTATTTCACCAAAAATATATTGAGCAATCTCACTAAAGAAGAGAAAATAAGCTGAAAACTTGGAATATATGATTTACTCAAAATATTATATTTGAGTTATGGAAGTATAAAACAAACTTCTAATTAATAAAGTGGTGAGTGATTTAAATACAAAAATTATATATACATATATAATAAAGTCTCAAACAAATATATTTATTTTCAGATAGAAAGATATTTATTTTCAAATAAGAACTATAAACATTAAAATGATTGAGTATCAATTCATATTTTC